CCCCAAAACCCCAAAACCCCAAAACCCCAAAACCCCTAAACATATATTATTTATTGAATAAAAACTAAAATTTGCGACTCTCCAAGAGTAGATATTTGTCTAATTTTATCGACTTAAACTCTTTAAGTCCCGTATGGAGAATCTTCTGGCTAGCTTCCTAAATGGCCTAAAAGCATTGGATAATCCTCTAAACTCTGTTTAAAGCCAGTTAAGACTTTGAAGGAATAACTTGATGATTAGGTACGTAGCTTATTTACAAAAATTAAAGAGTTAATTTTTATAAAGAATCCTGTGTTTTCTTTGCCTCCATCTGATATTCTTTGTCAAAATGATCCTCATTGGGGTCTTTATCTGGATCTTTTGGTTCAAGCTCTCCACATGGTTCATTCGAGGGCTGCTCACCAGATGGCAAGGGCTCTGAACCATCTGAATTGTTATTAATCTGGGATTTAACAGGCTTGGATTTATCCAAATGTCCAGAGGGAGAGATATCAAAATTTTCCACCTTTTCGTTACTGCTAGAAGAACTCTGAGATAAATTTTTGCCATTCGGAGTAGTAATTTCATCTTCATCCTCTTCTTCATAAATAATCCTCTTCTCTTCTTCATTTTCATCCTTGTCTGAAAGATTGACTACAAATTTTGTCTCCTGATGATCCTTTTTATTCTCATATACCACCTCGATACTAGGTTTTCTTTTGATTGGCACTTCTTTCTGCAATTCTGGAGCTTTACTTTTATCAGCACTATCAGTACTCTCAGGCTGTGTATGCCCATCTTTAGATTGGTCATTAGAATAATCTGGCTTCGTTGAAATCTCTTCTTTTTCTTGCTGCATTTTGGACATTTCTTCTCACATGCTTTTGATAAGTTTATTTGAGTTCAGTGTTTTCCACATGAAGATCCATCTCTTTCATCATCACTTTGTTAAGCTTCTCCATTGGAGAGCCATAAGTAGCTTGTTGCTGCATTTGATGCTCATCATTATACTTGAAGAAATGCTCCTTGAATATCCTGATCGAGGTATAATCACTCATTGGGAAAATCATGTTTGGAGATGTATTTAGTAAGCCCATTGTTGGCGAGTAGATCTCATCATCTTTCTTGTAGAAAGGGTTTAGAAATCTCATTAAATTCCTATTCACGTATGTCCAAATAGAGATAGTCTTCTTTCTTACCATCATTTCTGCTCTTTCAGACTCTCAATCAAAGAGGAAAGTTCCATATTTACATGTATACACTTCATGTGCAAGGAAAGTTAGAAGATCAATATTAAACTGAAAAGCTGTTGGAAATTGGTGTAATAACTGATGCACTCAATCTAACCATTGAATGAAGATGGGCGATCTTTGACTTGTATCTTGCTTTTGAACTTTGAAATGGCCTAGTCGTAATTCAAACATGTGGCCAAAAGAAACCCAGTCTTTCTCTATCAGGATTTGAAACCCTTTCAGAGTTCTGTAGAAAGGATCCAAAATGATCTGAGCAAGAGTGCTGAGCTGTGCAGTTCTATCCCATCCATCGGAACAATGAATCAAGACATTCTTTTCATGATTATCCATGACAGTAGCTATATCTTTGGCAGAGACGATTAATTTCTGGATGAGATTTATCCACCCGGATTTTTCCATTGCTTCATAGAAATTTCCTTTTGTATTCTGGTTACTTCAGGCTTGGAACATTTTCTCATATGCTTTACGGACTCCATGAATATTATCGATATCACAGAAGTACAACTTTCAATTAGTGTAATGCTTGTCACAGTTTTCATAACCTCCCTTGTTTAACTTGTTAGCCATTGCGTTTATTTTACTCCTGGCATCAAAGATGACAACCTTGTTTGTGATGGTATTCGTATTTCCAATTTTTAACAACATATTTTCGTCCGAAGTAGACCTGCTAGTAATCCCTCCTTTATTTTGAGAGCTCCTCCAGAGAGAAGTTCCGTTCTTTTTATAATAGTAAGAGAGACCAGGGAATCTTCCCTTAGTCCTGAACTTAGCTGTACCTTCCAGTTCAGAATTAGTGATGGAGTTAGGAACAATAATATATTCAGGATAAGTCTTGCATAACTGTCGGCCTTTCTTAGTTTTATTCCATCACCTGATTGCTTTAAATGGATATAGCTCAGAATTATCCTGCTCAGTTGCATTGCAAAGGAAGAAAATGACTCCCATTCTTTTATACTCCAGTGAGAATTTGTAAACCTACAAGAATTAAAGGCATTACTTACATTCCATCCATCTGTAGGGAGTTTACTGTAAGTCCTGAATTCAGGTACAACTTGCATAAGTTTTTCAATTACTGATTTATCACGAGAAGAGATCCTTGGCTTAGAAATTTTATGCTTAAAGGCAAATATTGAACTGCTAAATTTACTCGGAAAAGCAACAATCAAAAGATTGTTGTAAATTTCATCCATGTTAGGATAAGATCTAGGTACTATTCGCATCTGTCTGAAGTCTTTAGTGAATATATCAAGGTAATATTGGTCAGGAGCCTTTTTGTTAAAGAATTTCGTCACTTTTTCAATGAGGTTTATAATTCTATCACATTCATTTTCTTAAAGAATTCATTCCTCTGAAGCTCCTTGTCATACGGAACGAACACTATCTTAAACCTTGTGATTATGAAGCGACCTTCAATGAGCCTATTATTTACAGCGCTGATAAGGTAAAAATCATGCTCATTTCTGAGTTCATCTTCTCCATACTCAATTTCATCATCTCTAAGTCCTTGAATTTGTGCCTTTTCAAGCTCTTTCGGTCTAAATTCGGTGTCAATTGGTGAAAATATATGGCTTATATGTCATTTTCTTACAGAATAGGTTAGGAATTTAGCTGCCGATAAAGATGGCATCAAGCTGTAACTACTAAAAATATCTACATCTGTTATTATGACTAGTTATAATAGCACAGAGGATAATCAATTACTTTTTGACTGGACTTTTAGATACATTCTTTAACATCTTCTTCTCTTCTTGCCCCTTAGTTAGTTGCTCTTTTGATTGTGAATAGAAGACAGCTTCCTCCTTTTCCATTGTGAATAAATAATTTAATTAGATTGTTTTACACTGGGGTTTTGGGGTTTTGGGGTTTTGGGGTTTTGGGGTTTTGGGGTTTTGGGG